ATGTGGCAGAATTACTGAAAGCCCATACATCTTGAGCTAGCCAGTAACCATGTTTCTGCTAAATTTGATGGTTTGCGGTGGTATTATCTTCATTTTGCAAAATAGCTGCTAAGTTGTGCTTGCATATCCAGTTCTTTCTATTCCTTTAACTCAGATTTTTTTTAATATCCCTGTTGTGGTTCACTGATATGTGTGGTTCAGGATACTTTATGTGAATTCTGTAGTAGTTCAAAGCAGTGATCAAATATAGCACCTCATCAGGGAGAACAGCTGTTTACAAGGGTGAATAGTGATAGGATGACAGTGAGTGGTTTTCAACTGAGACAGGGGAGGTTTAGGTTAGATATTAGGAGGGAGTTCTTCAAACAGAGGTAGTTACACACTGGAACAGGTTGCCCAAAGAGGTTGTGGATGCCCCATCCCTGGAGGCATTCAAGGCCAGTCTGGATGTGGCTCTAGGCAGCCTGGTCTGGTAGTTGGCAACCCTGCACATAGCAGAGGTGTTGAAACTAGATGATCTTTGAGGTTTTTTTCAACGCAGGCCATTCCATGACTTTCATATGCCTTCTTCATTCACTTGTTCTGGTTACATTCAAATAATAATACCATATTTCAAAGATCTGTTGGAAAATAAACCACAAATCTGTATAAACAAAACCAAAATCCTAAAACTGCTTTTTAATGTCAAATATTATTGAAAGGAATATGGTGCTGTAATAATCTGTGGGCCTTCATAACAAATTCCCCTTAGACAAATCTTATCAATTGGTAGAGTGTTTTCTTACATATTCACCTAAAGGATCTTTGCTTGTCATATTGTGTTTCTCTCTCATCCCATCCCAAATTAATACTATGTTCTTGTCATGGTAATCCTGACTTGAAATATTCTGAGATGTTGTAGAATTGCTTTGATGAGTCAGCAGTGAATCCTAAAGGTGCAAGATGTTGAAGACAGAGTGAATTAAGTCAAAATAAATCTTACAACTTGAGCAAATTTAGTTTGTGGAGTTTTTTGGTTTTGTTTCTATTGTCATATTAATGCAGTCCTTTCTGGAAAAAAAAAAAGCCCTTCGAAAGTCATAGAAGTATCTCGTATATTCTGGAGGACAATAATGGTATCAGAGTGAGGAATAGACCTTAAATTTTCAAGAAAAAAGCATAATGCATTGCAAAATAGAAGATGAGTTTTATCCTAGATGTACATGGACTGAATCTCTCCTAGGTAAAAAGTAATTGTCATAAGGATACTAGCCCTAAGTGTGGGTTTTCCAACAGATTTCCTTTGAGTTTCTTGACCATTAGTTCTTACTTCATCATGCATATGAACTTCACACAAGGAAGAACTTTTTTTATTTCCATTCTGGCTTTTGTTTCATCCTGTTTTAGAACTCACTACATGCACTAGTTTTTTTTGGGGGGGGGTCAACCATCAACCACTGTATTGTGTTGCTAGTGGAAGATGCATCATCTTCTCAGTACACTGTAGAAATTGTATTAACTTTGGAGAGTTAAATACTCAATGACACTGAGCAGTTGACAAATAGTAAATTCTCTATTAATTGGAGAACTTAGACTAACTTCAGAGAATGGGAAGAGCATTATAAATGCCTAAAAGCACAGTGAAAAATATATAGTAGAAGCGAGCATATAGCTCACTCAGGAGAAGGAATTATCAAGTGTGGAGCAACAAGAATCTGATGCATCATGTTTTTGAGCTTTTCTGATTAGGAGTTTTTGGTTTCATATAACTACTATCATGTACAGATTTCATTCACATTTGTCTCTTCTGTAGAAGTGTTTTCTGAAACCTAAAAAATTTCAAGTGCTAGGCAACACAAAAAATGAATGGCCAGCATAGAAGACAGCTGCTATGAACAGCAGACGTGAGCAAAGTAAAATAGCATCTCTAGTTTCTTCAGCTGATATGAGTTCTGTGACTGCAGTCCTGCAGAGAAACCCTGGTAACCTGTTTAGTTTTCCTTCAAAACAGTTACCTGTATGGTTCTTATTACCATCACCAAGATACATTTTCCTTGTTAGATTTCCTTCATACTTGCCCTTTGGGTTTGGGGAAATGAATGTTTAGATTCCATCTCCATGGTTACCTTAGTATTAAATAGTAGCAGAATGTTCCTCTGATAGCACTTTTTTTTTAAGCTTTCCTTTTCCTCCCTCCAGTGCAGTAAAAGCCATCTTTACTCATTATTGAATACAGTCTCAGAAAGGTTTGGAAGTTTCTCAAAGCAGCTCTGAACTTTTTTTTTTAAATGGATGTAAAGCTGCTTTTCTTTTAAGAAAAAAGAAAAAACAAGAATTACTGGGTAGGCTTGGTGGCTACAGATCAGTAAGTCATCAGTGAGTTGTCCCAGTTTTGTTTTCTTTTGAAAAACAAATTGGCTGCTGCATTAGGACTTGAGACATGCATTGACAATTATGCATTTAGTTAGAATAAGTATGAGCACTGTAACTTACCTGCTGCTATTTTAGACTTTTAAAACTCATACAAAAGAACCCAAATTGGGAGCTTGATGCATCATCCATCAACAGCATATATTTTTCTGATACAAAGTAGATACTGTGTAGTCTCATTGGTATTGTAAGCCTGTCTTCTGTTGGTCTAGAAGCTAGCAAGAGAGCTAGGGTGATTCTTTAAAAAAAAAAAAAGTAGCAAGGAAGATTACAGTGATATGTGACATTTTACTTATACCCTTCCCTTTGAGTGGTGCCCTTTTAAAGAAATCCTGATAAAATTCTAGGAAGAAACCAAAGATGCTAGAACTGTACCTAAAAGCATGTGCTCTATGATAGAAGTAGTAACAGACTGGCTACACACTGCTCCCGCTCATGTATTGGGAAAATGTGATAGAGAAAAGAAAAGATCACATTAAGCTGTAAAGCTGATACCGTTCTCATATGAAATTTCTAACTAGTTTCTCTCATTAAGAGAGGCTTAATGATAAGAAAAGGATTTTTTGGTATGAAATATCTGTCAAAGAAGTATGTCTCTTCGGTGCTTTAAGGAGTTTAGTCTATTTTAAGCTGCATCCGTCATTAGACTTCTGTGCATGGTGCTGACCTTGGCACAGGAGCATGTGCCTTTTCTGTGTGCACGTCAGGCAAACAACAAAAGCCCTATAAGGTAATGTTTAGGATAGTCTTTTTTCTGCTCTCAGTGGCTGCAGGATACTTCAAGCTCAGCCCTCAGGGTCTGGGATGGTGGCCTCCCACAGCAAGGCCTGTCCTGTCCTCCTCAAAAGGATGTTGTAATCTGCTCATCTGCACCACACATTTGCAAATTAATTTATATAACAATTTTTTCAGAATACAAAAGTAACATATTGACAGTTAGCAAATCTTGGATGTGTTTTGTCCTTCCAAGTTACTATACCTGAGTACAGGAAGATACCACAATTACAAAGGTAGATTTTACTGCATATTTTTAGAAGTTAAAACATTGGGATATAAAAAGAGGAAAATGTTATTTTTTGCTAATGCTAGATGTAATGAAAAGACCTTAGCAGAAAGGGAGCAGAAGACCTCAAGCTCATTCTTATCTACATGTTATACTTACATTGCTTTGGATGCATTTGTCTAACCTGTTTTTAAAACTCTCCGATGATGGATGTTCCACAACTTACATAGGCGATCTGTTCAGTCCCTTGCTCTTACTTGAAAGTTTTCCAAATGTCTAACTTAAATCTTCCTTTTTTCTGTCTGCAGTAGACCTGGTGAACAGTTTAGTCCTGTTCTCATACCATCTTCCTTTGTGTTTGAAGAATGAGACCCAGCCTGCCATTTATTTTCTATAGACTAAACAACTTCACTTCTTCCAAGCTTTTTTTTTTTATCTCCTTTGAAGTATCTTTAAAAAGTTAAGGAATAGGAGACTCTGAACAAAAGCACATCTGTGGCAACTGTGGGGAGTCTCAGGTACACATGAGTACAATGTGCATGTCACTTGGGAAGCCTCTTGAGCAGCTAAGACATTTTGTCTATAATAAGATACAGCTAGAAAGCTTTTCTGCTTGTCTTGCCTTTACTTCCTCCTGTCTCCTCCTCCTTTTTTAGGAAACTTAGAAGCTTGAGCAGATTTTTGTTTTTTACACTTATGGAAAGGAGCACATTAGGGGAATAGATTTCTAGTTAAGAGCTTGTATCGTCTAATATGTTTGTGGTGTGTGGTATTATATTAACTAATCATCTGATGCCTGAGCCATAAATACATTTAATGGCAGAGTATGTAAGAGGTACAAAGCATTTTTCAGGCACATATTTCCCCCTTGAAAAGTGTCTCCTTTTTAATTCCAGTCAATGAACTACATCTGATAAACAAAATGAGAGGAAGCACTTTATTAATATAATTAAAGTGTGATAGTTTGTATGAGTAGCTTGATAGCTTCCAGTATTGGAAATTGTTTTTATGTTCTTTTGAGTATAAGTACGCACATTTAAATTTATATCAGAAAAATCCAGGCACACTCTGCACTTATAATGCAACATGGTTAGAAGTTTTTGATCAGTTATCACTCTAGCTTAAGGTATGTCAATTACTGGCCTGATAACAGAAATCAGAATCTTAAAAGCAGCATACCAATCAAAACCAACACACAATGGCTATTCCAGATTTTAGTGTCCTTTTACTTTTGTGTCACTAGTTCATACATACAATCTCAGTTTTTCAGTACATCTAAATGAATGGGCTAGATCAAGTGGTTCAAATGAAAAACTAAAAAGAGCAATTCAGTTTGTTTCTTTATAAGTAATTAACTTTCCATGGTAGCTAATTTACTTCAAGAATCTAATAGGCTAATACTGAGCATTATTAGTAGTGATATCATACATTAAGGAATTTGTTGCTGGATAACGTATAATTCTCTTGAATGTCTTTAACTCTATTCTTCTTCTTCTATAACTCAACAAATCCCACCTACTGTAAGGATAGGTGGCAGAGAAATGTATTTGCTTTAAACCTAATAAAAGTAGCAACCAAAATTTAGCAATAAAGAAGGAACCACTTACCCCCCCCTTTCTAAAGATCAGGGCTCACCAAACACACTGAAGAAGGTAATCTCCAAGTAGAGAAGCTTCCCTTGTCCCTGCCAGCCCTTAAATGAGGTTAGGAGGGATGAGCCAGGGTCTGCCCCTTCCTGTAGCCCAGGTGAATTGTTTCCACCTGTGTTCCCAGGGCTGGTTATATATGGCCCTTCACCAGCTGCCTTAATGATGTTATTTAGGCTGTGACCTAGTGATTCCTGTGCACTCCCTGATATGGGATCAGGACAGGTGTAGGGAGATGAAGGCAGTTAGGATGATAGGACGTTTTCTTGTTTGAGTAATTCTTTGAAATCTTGAACAGGAGCCCTTTCCAATCTTTTACTTTAGTGCTTGGGAGTTGTTTTTTTCTCTGTTTTATTCTATTTTTTTTTTTTTGGGGGGGGGGGGGTATTGTTAGTTGTATCTTCTTGAAGATAGATTTTTTCATTTTCTTTAGGGAAACTGAGAAAATCTTTAGTGTCTGTACTTCATTGGAATGTTATCAATTGAGGTAATGAAAAAGTGAATTAACAAGGGTGTTGTCTCTGCCTATGGAGTTGAAGGATAAGGTTTCTTTTAAAAGATGTTCATGATTTAGAGAGTTATGATAGTCTGAAACTTTTCTATTTTAATGTTTCAACCCATTGGTGAAGGTCTCTAATAGCAGCTGTAATTGCTTGTTGGTGTTCGTTATTTTTGAAGAGAATTATTGTTGGTACTCTAATGAAATGCTAATTTCAGAGAACTCCTCCCTGAAAAGTGTACTGAGCAAAGAAAAATTCTGGGAAAGAACTGCTTTCTGCTAACTTAGCTCTTGCATTTTGTTACACTCCACATCTTTGTATAGATGTTCTGAAGTTCTTATACCAACTCTGTATAACTAAATAGTCTAGAAACTGGCCTTTGGCTCCAAAAAAACAGCAGGGAAGCTTGAACTAGTATTGATGCTGGAAAGCCATCCATATTGTATTTACTGGTCATTAGTTAAATGCACTTCACGTATAAAAACCCATTTTTCTTCCCACGAAATGCTGGAGAAAAAAGCCTAGCAGAGATTCTATATTGGATTAGAGGAAAATTGAATTCCTCTCATAACTGCTTCCCTGGTGTGTTTTCTCATATCCTAATTATCTGAAGGCAGACAGATTCTGAGATGCTTTTTACATTTGAAAGCAGTTGGCAATGCATAAAACATCTCTAAAAACTGCCTTGTGTTCACAAATCTCTTCTTGAGATCGTTTGGTGCAATTTTTTGGCATAAGATTTTCCATTACAGAAGACTTTTATTTCCATTTCCTTCTCATCAGGAGCTTTCCCAACATAGCATTGACCGCGTATGGATTGATAGTTTAAAGATTAGGCTCTTACTTCAGGACCCTCTCGGAAACGATCCATGGCTATTGCATCTAGTTTTTATCCCAGAGTGTTTCTCAATTACACTTTAATATACAGCTTTGTAGTGGCATCGTATTTCAGGCTCAGAAGATAAGTGAGCAAATCATCTCAGCAGCTCAGTGGGCTGGAGCAGCTAGGGACTTTTATTTCCTCAGGAGCATACATGTTTGCTCATGGCATGTAAAAGGGACTATGTTTGGCTTAGTAGCAGCTGCTCTGGAGTTAAGGCTGTAAGTTCACGTTCTTGCTTGTTCTCCTGTAAGCTTTGAAACCTTCTGTGTGAAGTGGTCTGGTAATTGGTAACAGTCACATATTGAGGAAGTCACCATTGCCAACTAGGATATGACACTGAATTGTACATCGGGGAAATTAATCTGTTCTTAGGGGTTGAATTACCCTGCTACATCACAGTGGGTAAGTAATTTCACATCCATACGACCCTATCCTATAACGCTAATGATAAGAACTTAGGAAGAGTTTTTTCCTTTGCACAAATAACCTTTACTTTTTCCATAATTATAATTTACTGAGAACTTGCTTGCCAATTTACATCTTTTGAAATTCTTATGACAGGTTATTTGATTTTAAAATAATTGAAATGGTTGTTTTTTCAGTAGATTAATTTAGGTTACAATGGAAGCATAATTAGCTCAATAGTAAACTATGGAAACAAGAAGTGTTGACTCCATAGATGAAAAACTGCCAGTCCCCAATAGCTACTTGAAGGATTTTACTCTTGTATGCTGCCAGTCTTAGTAGCTGGTGTAACTGCTTTTTGTGTCCAAGATGAACACAAAATGGTTTTTTGTTCTTGCTCTGCACTGGTCTAGGTTTGGAGTGGAAAAAATAACTTGCATCCTCTAAGTTTTTAGAGCTCTGATCCTCTTAGAAGGCAGTCATTTCAAGCCAGCTTACTTTCTTGGTACTGTGAAAAGATGCAATTTTTGCTGTGCTTTTTCTTAAATGGTGCTTAAATATTTATAGATAATACGATTCAGAAGTTGACCTTGATTGGCATACCATTCACTGAGTAGTAACTGTATTGGTCTGAGCTATGCCTGGAGGAATATAGTTGCTAGAGTACAGTTACTTTGATATAGGATTAGCAAGTGCTTGTAAACTCAGATCATTAGTAAAACTAGTCATCCTAGCTCTTTTCAGTACCAGTGCATGAATTTTTTTGCTAGAAGTGATTCATGAATATGTTTAATGTTAAATTAACAGAGGGAAGAAGACTGCGGCACTATACTGTAAGAGCTACAGTTGTCCAGGGGATGGTAGAAGGTGCTTCAAGAAATGCTTGATCTTCCCCTCCAGTTCAGAACATAGAAAATAACTTGGATCTTTGAAGGGTGATGCTTCAAGATGGCCCTCTTTGATATAGGAAGGTCAGGTAGAGTGACTAGCAAGTCAAACAGAGTCATAGAATTGCTCAGGTTGGATAAGACCTTCAAGATAATCGAGTCCAACCACAACCTAACGATACTACCGAAACTCTTAACTCGCCACTAAATCATGTCTCTGAGCAACACATCCAAATGCTTTATAATATAATATTATAAAATATAAATACCTTAAATATAATATAGTAAAAATACCTTTTGTTTTCATGGTGCTTACATTTATCAGTTTTGGCAGCTGATATGGTTTAGAAAATAAGCATGTAAGATCTGACCAGTGGCTCTCTGTTGGTAAGAATTAAACGATTCTCATTTTAAAAATAAAAAACTTAAATGTAAGTATTTGCCGAACAAGAGAAGGTTAGGTATTTTTTGTATACAGTCAAAAGGCATCTTTCTGTAAAACTTTGTTTGAAATCAGTAGTGGATATGATGTAGCGGTGTAGTAAGACAATGCTGTTCCATTGTTTTTTTGTATCTCAGTGGCAGCAAAGCTGTCACTTCTCATTTCAAGTATCTTTTCTATTGTTATTTTCTGGCCTTCGTTTGGAAATGATTGATAGTTGTTGTACAGTCTTTGCTTCAAAAGTTTGTGATTTTTTTTTTGTGCTAAGAATAGAAAAGTCTTCATTTGCACAGATGGAAATCTTCTGAAAACCTTTTTCTTCCAACTTTTTTTATTCCTGTAGGGAAAAAAGTTCTATAGATTTCTACCACCCCGAAGTTAAGACTGTTGATCCAAAAGGGAAATAGGTAGTTACAATACCTAGTAGTTATGTGTGGAGATAATGGCTAGGAATTGTAACTTTCTCTGTATGTGATTAGAGGGAGAGACCTATGTTTTGGCTCTGATGTCATGAATACGAAGTGGTATATACTATTGCAAGGTGCTTTTCAAAGTGACTGCTTCTGGCTGTTGATGATTAGTGGCTGTCAACCCACTTTAGATTTGAAAGTTAAGGTAGGCTTTTCACTCCACAGCTGAATAATTATTTTTTCTCTGCACTGGTTAAGTTAGTATCTTTATGAAAGATTTTCATTAAAATACTGTTCTGCTGTACTAAGTGATGAGATTCAACTCTAGAAAGTGCAGTTCTTTGTGTGATGAATGAAATGGGGAAGTCACGTGTATGGGAAGTTTTAGCTTAGGTAAATTCGATTCTGTGACTGAGTTCAAAGGTCTGTAAGGACTGACTGCTTTTCTCTTTCAAGGCAGCTTTGTTGCTCCCCGTTAAACGATGTTTGCCATTGTTCTTGCTTTGATTACACAGACATTCACAGACATGCACACACGCACGCTTTCAAGTTTAATTTTCTTCAGCTTTTGTTTGGCTCATATAAAAGATAGCTGGAGTTTCTGCCTCAGTAAATACAAGCAATTGTTAATGCAGTTGTAGTTTGAGAGCACTGATCCTCTTGCTGTAGATCTGCGTGGTGTCTGCTGAGTGCTTTTGTGAGTGAATAATGATTATTTTTAACCTCTGTGCTTCCATTTGTGGAACAGTTAAATCCTGCTTTGTCTTAGCACTGCTACGAGATACTAATTCTACACGGTGAGAAGCTAATACTGAGGTAAAAGTAAAGACTTTAAAGATTCCCTGTCATTGCAGTTGAACTTTGTAAGGTAACTAGCAGGTGGTTTTCTGGCATTAGGAGACTTGAGAATTGAAATTTCATTACTCTAAATTGAAAAGAGTCAGTCATCCTGTATACTGTCTGATCAATACAACGATTTTGCACCCCTTGCAAACAGTAAGTACGTTGCTGAATGATGCTTTTATTTTCAAACTCTCCAGACTTCTGAGAAAAGGCTATCTTTAAATTGACTTTTTGGTGGCTAAAGTTTTTGCCATGTATTGCCCAGGCAGACCCAAAAGAAAGAGTGGGTTTTGAGAGGTGTTTTAAAAATGTATGTTTTCAAACAAACATGGGAGAGGGGTAAATATTTCATCGTTACCTTATTATGACTGCTGTACATGTTCTTAGGCAAGTAGTGTGAACAGTCACTTTTTTAGTATAAAGTTACAGAAAACAATAAAAATATCCAAGATCAACAGGTGGCAGAAGATCCAGAAATACAGTGCAGTCTGTCTGATTTATGAGTAGCTTACCCTGTAATTATGACAGTAATCTAAAGCTTTCACTCCCCCATAAAACCCCTGAGGATGAGCAACAGCACGGATTCTTGGAGTTCTTCTGTGGCATATGCTGACCCGGCAGACTTGCTCAGATGCAGCTGAGTCCACTTATATTTCTGAATGTATAAGCATATGTGTGTGTAATTGTGAAGTCCATCACCCGTCAAGGAAGTTTTATGGGGATATTTTGAGACACATGTAGCAGCTACTTTTTATTTATTTTAGTACAGTGGTATCCATTGGATACACAGTGCTTTGGAAAACTAAGCTTTTATAAATAAATGTAAAAGAAATGTGAAAGAGCTTGATGGAAGCTTTTTGTTCCAAGGAGTTGGATGCATTTGGGGTTTGGAGTTCAGTGCTTATAGCCCAAGAAACAAGGTACCAAGTTGTATGTGTTGTATCTTTTCCATTGCAGGAATCATGTAAGAATTCCTTCTGCACGTGGTGATCATTTACTGTATGATTCTTATAGTGCTATTAAAACATTAATGCAGCAAGATCCAAAAGAGAGAGACTGCTGAAGAAATACAGGAGGTTGTCCAGCTGTTCTGGCATAGAAGCTGCTCCTTAAATTTCAGACTGTGCTGTAAAGCACAGCCAGATGAATCTCTGGTGAAGTTCCAGGGGACCTGGCAGATGCAGTGGACGCATAATTTGTTGGAGCTTAATTCAAGCAGTGCAGATAAGTTGCTTTTCTTGAGCAACCCAAGAATTACTGGCCACTTTGCTTAGAAAATTAAGCTGCATATAACTCTGTATGCAGTCTTTATTGTTACTGAAAAGTTTTTGGTAGCTGTGAAGAATTCTGTTGCAAATGACATCCATATCTTATGACTTTTGTCCTAACCTGGGCAATCAAACATGCTCCTGGTAGTTATGTCTCTGCTTTGTTTAATCCTTGGGTTGCCTGCTCAAACATACGAGTGCGCACAAAGATCATTTGGAGTTGGAACTTGCCAGTAGTAGAAATTTTGCACAAGCTCGCGGACAGGATATAAATGAAATTGCAGCTACTCTTCACTTTCCTTAAACCTTTTAGAGCTCCAACTGTGGAGTATTAAGATGCGGTGCAGTTAGTTAATATGTTGTAGCATCTACTTTATGTTGGCATGCAAACTTGAGTGAAATATTGGAGTGTTTTTTTATTTCTAATGATCTGTACTAAACAGATCTGAAAGACTCACTTGAATTCAAATTAAGCCTGTTGTCATGCACTTGAAGGAAGGATTTCATACTTTTGTTTTTGTCTGTCATAACAAATAATTGACATTTTTTCATGCATTCCTTCTGGTAGTTTTGATTCTGTTTGGCTCACTGATGCTGTGACTCACCTATGTCTTTGGTACATCCTTCTCTTTCAAGAGTGACTTGTCTTCATATTTTAAAATAGTCTTGAATAACTTGCCTCAAAATTGATACCAGTGGTGTTGAGCTTCTTGTACTATGTTCCATCCCATAAATACATATTTTTTTCATGCTGTGTTTTTCAGTATGCAAAGGTTTGGATTTGTTTTTACTCTTTCCAGCCCTTTAAAATAGGGAGGAGTAAGCTCTCAGGACTACTAGAGGACCTGTCTGCAGCTGAGATTGAGCCTGATTTATCTGGCAGCCATCAGAGTTGAACTGTATTCTCCAGAGCCGGCAAATCATTTGCTAGGGCTGGCACTGCTGCTTGGATGGATGGTGTTAGACATGTTAGTTGTTTGGAAATCTGCAAAGTAATTATTCTGAATCTCAGTGCAAAAATGTGAGTTGAAATAACATATGGCAGAGATCTACGACTTTGCCTTATAATTTGCTGCTTGGCAATTTGCTTTTAGTATGGGCTACACATTTGTTTATAGTTTACAAATACTTTAAAAAGTGTACTTAA